TGAGCATCTTGTTTTATAATTCCCCAAACTTGCAATAGTCCTTTTACCTATCTTGCTTGTTGATTTTAGCTTTTTGTATAACATAAAAAAGGCTTATATTTTCATGCTTTAGAACTTTCATTAAGGTTGTTTTGTGTTTTGAGTGCAAACTCACCCTATTAGGCCTTGTTTGCCCTTTTGTTGCCTTTTTGGTAGGATTTGTTTACTTCAGTGTTTTCATCTCTTTACCACTGAAAACCAGTGTATTTTTGTAGTAAAGAAGGTGGTTTGAAGTCTGCATAGGGGAGGGACACCCCTCTCCCTTCATTGTCTTGTTCCTTATATTTTGGCCTAAAAGGGTAGCATGTATGCTTGATCATCTTGAGCCTTATTTCAGAAGATTTTTGGATGTTTTAGGTCATATGTAACCTCTGTTTTTTGGTCAGATTTGTGCCTCCTTGTATGCTTGTAGTACTTGCTTTTGCATTGCTCTCATTTAGCTTAGAATGCATTCTCATGATTAGGCCATGATTCTTGCATGTGTTGGCTTAGTTCCATGAAGAATTTTGGGCATTGTTTTACCATGTTTAAGGTCTGTTGGACATCCATTTCAGTCATGCTTGTCTTGTTTGATGTCATCTCTTTGTGTTTTGGCTTGTAGGCTTTGAGCATTTTGACCTCTAGCATGTGTAGTTGACCTCCTTATGATTTGGCATCATTTAGGATCCTATTTTAGCCCAAAGAATCATGTTTGCATGCTTGCATTTATGATCTCTTTTGTGCCTAAGGGTGTGCCCTTTTATGCCTACATTTGAGCCTTGTGCATACACTCCTTTGGAGTCATTTTAGCTGCCATGTTTAGGAGGGTTTTGGGGTCCTATTTTTGTCTGCAAAAACTCTGTTTTTACTTGTCTAAACCATGCCATGATTTGGTCTTGGTTGTGAAATGAAGTTACCCTTTTGGTGCCTTAGCTTGGGTCTATTGGCTTGCATGTTGACATGAGAGCTTGCCCATCATTTGAGCACTTTTTGGTGCTGTTTTGAGGTGAATTAAGGCCTGCACCTTTATCACTTTAAGGCCCTCTTGCATGCTTGTCTCATGTTTGCTACATAATTGTTTCATAAATGTGTAGTCCCATGCTATCTTTATGGTAAATTGGTCCATGTTTGCATCACATTTGCACCTTGCATGCTTAGCATTGCATATTTGTCATGATAGTTCCTTAACATTTTCCATGACTTGAATATTTGGCACCATGTTGCATTTGAATCATGTTTACATAACATGCATTGCATTGCTTGGTTTGGGGTGTCAAACCAAGTGTGAGAATCAAGGAACATTCATACTACAAGTGATGTAATGTGCTTTGATTCTCGGTCACCGAGGCCCTTGACTCCGACTTGATAAGGCTTTGGTTCTCATTTTGTTTGTTGCATGCATCCTTACATCAAGTGGCAAATTTGATCCCTTGGGCTATCGGCAAATTTGATCCCTTGGGCTATCATGCACCATTGATGGCTCGAGGATCGAAGGTCATACTTCCTTGAGTTCAAAGCATGATAGGATGCATGACCATGCTCACATGTACCTGAAAACCCCATGCCATGCACTATCTGTTCTCTGTTTGCTGTCAAAACTGTCTTCTACAGGAAGTTTCTGCCGACCGGCAGAATTTAGTGCCGACCGACAATCACAGAAGTGCCGATGAGTCCAGGAACAGCCGGTGGAAATTGTAGAGTGCCGGTGGGAATTCTGTCTGGCCGGTGGTGCTCTGCAGTGTGTAAGGAACCTGCTCCAGGACTTTGGCAATTTTCAGAGAGACGAGGCAGTATAAACAGAGGTGACAGGGGTACGGTACGGGTTTTTCGGGCGAGCCGAGTTCCGAGCATGCATCATATGCGCATCCCGAGGCAGAGGCTGCGGCCACCCTCTTCTTTCTTTTGCATTCTTTCTTTTAATTAATTAAAAATTCTGTAATAATTTTATTTGCTTATTATTTGGGACTGTAATATTTATTTGTACCCTCCGAGGGAGGGCAATTATGTAATAAGTGTGCCTGAGTATGTGTATGTCTTCCAACCTCACGTCTTTCTTCCCTTTTATTACCTGCTTATGATGGTAGATTAGGGCATGTTTAATTTAGCATACCTTATGCTATGCATGCGTGCATTCATGCATTTGTACTGCATGCATTAGGCTCGGTACATCACGCTAACTGCATTTGTACTTCAATTTACAAATCGAATATGTGATAATTGATCGCATTACATATACCATGCTTAGGTTAACCGAGCCTATCTAAATTGCATCCTGTATGTGTTGCATTAGGCAATTTAACATGAACTAGGACACGCATGTTTTGCTAACTAGTTTACTGTTTTGGCACGGAGCACGATGTAAGTATTTATGCTTTAGCATCTCGCATGTGTGTGAATGTTAACATGACAGTATGCTTGCCATGCGGCTAAATGCTTATGTGTTAAACTGTTTGAATGCCTGTGGGTGGAGGTTGGATTGTTTGAATTGGAAAAACTCATTGAAATCCGTGTTTTAGCCTACTTGCGAGTAGCAAAATCTAAAGTATTTCCAAAGCAAACGGATATGCAATGTTTATTCCCAAATTAGGCAATCTAGTCTATACTTGTTTGCTGTGCGCACAACATAGTAATTCTAGGCTAATAACCGGAGTAAGAACACATAAACATTTTCAAAACAGAATATCACGGTTAGTAGAGGCCGGTCTTTGGACCGGGCGAGAGGGGGTGCTCATAGCTGACCTTCCCTGATCGTACCCAAGTTCCCGAGCCGAGGCAACTTTGGTGATGACGGACACGTGGCCTTTGGCACCGAGTCAGGGTTTCCTAAATCCCCCCTTAATAAAATATTTAGGTGGCGACTCTGTATCTGGCAAAGCAGTCCATGTTTGGCACTTCTTTCAAAATCTGTTTTCTCAAAACGATTTGCCAGATTTGGACTCTTTGGTTCAGATTTAGAACCGTAACAAGATTGAGTCTGACCTGTAGCGAGGCCCCTTCGCGGAATTGTTACACATTCATAAGGAAAACTTGAAAGTACAGATTAAAGCAATAAATTTGGGGCATAGTCAGATGTTCCTGCGTCCCCTCCCAGAGCTGGTGGAAGCCTCTAATGCCAAAGTAGGCCCGGTTTGTGCCTCATCTTCAAGCCAAGTTATGCACTCGCCAGAAAGGGCACAACTGAAACTGGAAGCAGGGGCCAGAAGTTCTCTTGTTCTCATGCTGTGGCATACCGAGTTAGCTGTGAGCCTCGGATCAAAAACGAAGCTGGGTACTCTATCCCCTCTTCCGGGCAGATCTGATCATGCTCAAATGGATGCCTAAATCGAAATGGGCAGTAGAAGACACAATGTGTCAGACCAATCAGTTGAATCCCGGGTTGGTGAGACATTCTGTAGCTCATCACTGGCAGATTGAGCCAGGGGCAGCGCCAAGCAATGTTGACAGCAGATAGACTGCACATCTATTCGCACCACCATCCCTCATTTGGGGCATCAACTAGTTGTTGCCGGAAGAAATAGCCGCGTGCTGAATATACTGCGCATGAGTCCACCACTTTCAACTTGTCCAGCAGCCATATCTGGGAAGGGATGAAAAAAATAAAAGAGATTAAAGAATAGAAAGGTGCGCGTGGAGAGAAAAGTGAGAAAGGGTTTTAAGAGAAAAACAGAGCCTAAGGGCCAAGTGATGTGAGAAATACACATGTGAGAAGGGTGGGAAACATTACCTTTAAGAGTAGTAGACTCCCTGTGAATCTGGTTGTCTCCCGGCGGTGAAAAGCATCCAAACCCATCAGAGTCTCAGCTAGTGTCATGCCAATGCAGCTCTTGCCCTCTTTCAAGCCTTGGGCAACCTCAATCAAACGGACGCTGGACCCTCCGAAGCCTGGGCAAGCAAGAAATGAGACAACATGCATAAGCAGAGGGTGTGTCGTCGAAAACTCTGCCAAAGATGATCGCCGCGATCGCCAGCGTCAGAAAACCGATGAATCAAGCTTGGGATATCCAGCTCTCCGTTGCGAATCAAAGACCGAGCATCATGCAAAGTAAGCCCACACATCCGTCCTAAAGCTTGGATGTGGCCAAAACGGAATTGGGGCAAGATTTCTTCATCGCGTCGAGATTCCATCAAAGTTTGGAAATCTTCAAAGGTGGGACATATCTCTTGCCCGCCAAAGCTAAAAACATGAGTTACCGGATTCCAATACTTAGCTGCGGTATGGAGGAACGGAAAACGCAGCGGGGTGCGGCTCAGCGTAAATAGTGCATTTATTCCGAAACCCCGAAAATTTAACTTTTTTGAGCCATCTAAAGCTGCAAGCTAATCGGAGAGTTTTTGGGCAAGAAATGCTTCCATTTGGGGCAAAAATGGAGTTTAAATGAAGAAACCACGAAACTGGAACCTTTATGGAAGATAAGGCATTGAGTGGAGGACATGTGACAACATTTCAGAGATTCTACTCATCGATGGCCGGCAGTAGCTCATTGATGGCTGGTAGGGGGTCATCAATGGCTGGCAAGGGCACATTGACGGCCGGCAGGCCATTTCCCATGTCCGGTAGCCTTTCTTCATGCTCAGTGGTCTCCTGCGTGAAGATCCAGTCACTTTCCAGCAGTTGTACTATGTTATCGATACCTTTCGGGGTCTAGTTTTGGTTCTTTTCAGGCCTGAGCATGCCTGTTTAAGTTGTAACCATCTAGTCTTGTTTAGCAAGTTGTATGTACTTTGATTATTGAGTTGTTGCACTTTGGTTATCGAGTTGTATGCATTTTGCTTATCAAGTTGTATGCATGTTGATTGTTGAGTTGTTTTGTTCTTTCAGTTGTTAGTTAGTTCACTACCTGATTAAGAGCAATGCATTTTGAATGAGCAGTTTTCAAACGAAGATCAATCTCATTTTCATGCTGTGCGATGTTATGCGATGCTTAGAATGTAAAATGCAACACTTTTTGAACCAAAAGTTATTTTCATTCCAATCATGGTTTCTTTTTGCAAAAAAAGTACAAGTTTTAAAGAAAATAAAACTGCCTAAGGCTGTACAAAGTGCTAATACTATTAGCAAAAAGAGAAAACAAAGCAAAAAGCATCTAAATCGGTGCCGACTAGCTCAAGATCGAGAGGCTCTCTTCGTCCTCTTCCTCGACCGAGTAGACTCTAGAGCATCGTCACCATTAGCACCGCTGTCTGAAGCTGGATCAGAGCGTAAACCGGAACCCTCCTCAACCTCTCCAGCCTCACTAACTGCAGAATCCGAGCCGGCGTTGTCGCCTCCGCCATCAGATGGCTCGGACTGTCGACTCGCTATCTCAGCCTCCTCGCTCGTCTCGTCATCATCATCGCCAAGAATGGGCTCTGAAGGGCCACTCTTGCCACGGGTGCCCCTAACTCCGCCTCGGCTGCGTGCCTGAGCCTGTCTCCCTCTCCTCTCTGTTGTTGGGAGAGGAACTGAAGGTCCTACCGCTGCTCCTGCTGGGGTGCCCGATGGGGCTGGTATCTCGAAAGGAATCTGATATGGGCAATTTTTGAGAATGCATTAGTCGAGGCGTATATGCAGTGAACAGTGAATAATTGCAGTGAATGTACAGTGAACGGTGAATGATTACAATGAATGTGCCATGAGCAGTAAATGATTGTAGTGTATGTATGACGTGGGAAGTGTGTGGGAACAGTGTATCGATGCAGTGCTTTGGTGCAATGTGTCAGATCAGTGTAGTGTGGAATAGTTGAAGTGCTAATGTGTCGGCGAAAAAGCTTCGTGGCATGAAATGCAAGTTGAAAGAAATTACCGGGATCCTGTAGAGGCTGAGCAGATCCAAGCTCGTCTGTACCATCTTAGTCAGGGAAGCCACTAGCCCGAGGGCCTGCCTTGTGTACTCTATGGGTGCTTGCAAGTGCGTTGAAGGGATCAGTATTTTATACAACATCGTTGAAATGAAGTAAATATGCAAAACGTAAAGTTTAGTGCATACCAGAGTCGGGCCTCGAACTCCGACAAGCTCATGACCGGCTAGAGCAGGCTCAATGGGGATCTGGCAAATCTCCCCAAAACGTCTCCGATAAGTCACTGTAGTAGGCAGCTCTGGCCATCCCGGCTCTTGCCTCTCCCAGCTCTGGCCATCCCGGCTCTTGCCTCTCCCCAGGATCTCTTCTCCTGCGAGACCTGGTCACTATGGCTTCTCTACCTCTCTCTCTCTCAGCTGGAGCTCTCATTCCCTCACCTCCGCGAACGACGGTCAGAGGCGGCATCAGGTAAGTTTGAATAAAGGTCGCATAGTCGCCCTCTGCACGGAAGTACTTCGTCTCCAATCCTACCATAAACTGGATCACCTGCTCAGCAGAAAGTCTGTGTGTCTCTCTCATAGATGCTGGAGGTGCCGTCGGTACGAGTGGGGCAGGCAATCTTAGAGTCTGGCATGCGAAGCACTCACTCAAGAACCAAGCCCGGCAGATCGAGCCCTTGAGGAGAATATGGTAGCGAGCAACGGTCCTAGCTGACTCATACAGGAATCTGAGCTCGAGGGTATCACATCCCACGGCTGCCACGTGATCTGAAAGACAAGATTAGTTGTTGTCAATTGACTAATGTATGTGTATCAAGATTCATTGAAAAGCGAGATGGCTTTGTTTTGGGTTACCTCGCGAGATATGACCGTGTCGAAGTACTGTCGGAAGAACATGAAAGCCCGAGACAGTCGAGGAGAAAGAGCAGTTTGCGCGGGGCTTCCTCATGTTTCTCTTTGGTACCACCTTGTTTTCAAACAGGTGGAATATCGTTGGTTTGTACTTTCTGAGCGCATTGGTTATACTCCAGAGGGTCCAGTTCTACGACTGGGGCGGAACTGGCCTCACCACTCTATATGGATATATGAGCTCGACTTCTCGGATGAATGGGACCTTGATCGATGGCTACTAGCGAGCTTGAGAGGTACACAGCTTAGTTCCCCCTTTTCAGTTTACACTTTCTGCTTAGCATTTCCAGCTTTACACTTGTGCAACACATGTACTTTCTGCATTCTCTGTATCTGCTCTTACACTGTATGCTTTCTGCCTTGCATTTTCTGTACATTGCACATACCGTACACTGCATACTACACACTGCACACACAAAGTCTAATCTCTACTCTAGACTTGCACTTTCCATGCAATGTACTGCGCTCTGCTTTCTACATTTTCTATACTTTGTTCATACACTGTATTAATCACATTTTCCTTATAGCTGTGGGTGTACGCGTACTTTCTGACTCTTGCTCCAGAGCTCGTAGAAGAGACCCCGATGACAATCCCGTTCTCTCGGGGTATACGACGGCCAGCTCCGCCGTAGGACCCGGGAGAACTTCATGTTCTTTCGACAGTATTTCAACCATGCCTGCCCGAAGTATCGGTGGGCGTTCCCTAAGCAGTGCAATCCATGCAGCCTCCCATGTTAGGATCTAGAGGAATCGGATCACCCCTACCCCCTACGCCTATGCCGATGATCATGGCAAAGTCGTAGGGAGTCATCGTCATTTCCCCCGTGGTGGAGAATTAGAATGAGTTAGAGGTATCCCACTACCTCTTCGCAAGAGCCCCTAAGAGGGGGCGACTCGTTACAACCCACGTCAAGCTGGAGCAAAACAGACTAAAGCCAGTCTCGTCAATGAGGTCGCGGACCCTGGCTGGGGACTCACTATACCAGTCTCGGGCTGTCGTCGTGCCATAGCCTCTGAAAGAGCGGGATCCGTCCTGTAGTGATGCATGAGATGCAATCAAAATTAAGCACAGTTGGAAGTACAGTTGAATGCGAAATAGTGATGTATGAATTACAATTGAATGCACAACAGTGATGTGTGAAACACAGTCAGATCAAGGCATGTGATGCAATCAGATTGAAACGGTGCAAGAAATGCAGATAATTGAAAATAGTGCTGCGAAAAAGCGAAGTTCATACCTCCACGGCAATGGCTGATAAGTGAGACGCAGGCTCTCTCAATAGGAGGTCGTCTGGCGCGTCCTCGGCAAAATCAGTGAAGGCTTTGATGCCTCCCACAACAGGTATAATGTGTGTCTCGGGGTGATACCTCATCGGATCAAAAGGGCGTATGCTCGGCGGTAATGGCTCGGGCTCGGGCTCGGCCTCAGGTTCGGCCTCGAAGTCCGCTGCAAACTCTACTAGAGGGAGCGCGAGGAAGCCCCCGTCATGAGGGATATTGTCTGCCATCTGAAATAGATGCAAAATGAGGAAAAATAAAGAAAATGGTGAAACTTTGCAAAAGTCAAACCCTAGGAGAGAGAAAAGTCAAAGAAAGTTAAAACCCGGGAAAAGTGAACTAACCTTGGGAGAAACTCGAGGGAAATGATACTTGAACGGTGGAAATGACGGAAGAAACGTCGAAATCAAATTCTGATCGATTTAAATCGAAGAGAACAAGAGGGTTTTCGCGAAGAAAATGTTCTTAGGGTGTTGGGAAACGTGTAGAATGCACTGATCTAGAGAGAAGGAGTACCTAGAGAGAAAAGGAGGAAGGTTTTGTGCAAGGGGTTATGAGGAAATGAAGTGTCTCCACCTCTACTTAAAGACCCGTGAATTAAAGGACCATTTTGCCCAAATCTGCCATTGATGGCCGGCAGTGGCACATCGATGGCTAACAGTGTGTAATTGTTGGCCGACAGTGGCCACTGATGGCCGGTAGGGGGCCGACAGCGTCCACTGGTGGCCGGCAGGTCTCTACCAGCTTCCCCTGCCCCTTTTACCTTGATATGTGTCCTTGGGTTCCAAGAAATGCAGGGTATGCTCAAAGTTTGATTCAAAATGCCTCCGCAGAAGCCCAGAATCACGTTCACAGTGCGCGAGGGTTATCGCCCATCAACTCAAACAAGGAGTATCCTTTTTTAAATGTATTTCAACTCTCCGAGAGGTAGGTTGGAAGTTGTTTTCGAATTGTCTCCATCAAGCATGATTTTGTCGTCACATAGGATTTGCATGTTACATTGAACATGCGTTTTGAATTGTTGCATTGAACATGCATTACCATGTTTACTTTACATAAGGCATGCATCTTGCGTCGAATATGTGTCGTTAATTGTCTCGCATAGAATATGCTTCGGTTTCATTTCTTGCATATTGTGCATGGAGCATACCTTGAACATCATGTCATGATCATTCGTCTCGCGTGAGACATGCATTGTATTTATCAAGTTTCCTTCTCATACATGCACGATATTGTATGTATGGTTCATTCAAAGAAGTTCTGTTAAGATTGATTATGCCTTTGTGTATCTATCGCACATGTTCATCTTTTGTGTATTTATCGCACATATTCATTTTTGTGTATCTATCGCACATGTTCATCTTTGTGTATCTATCGCACATATTCACTTTTGTGTATCTATCGCACATGTTCATTTTGTGTATCTATCGCACATGTTTGTCTTTGTGTATCTATCGCACATGTTCGTCTTTGTGTATCTATCACACATGTTAACTTTGTGTATCTATGGCACATGTTCACTTTGTGTATCTATCGCACATGTTTACTTTGTGTATCCATCACATTTAATCTCATATGCCTTAGGCATTGTTGTTTTTTCTCCTCGCGCGCGCGGCGTGTTAGGCCCTCTTTGGTTAAGAGCATTGGAACATGTTCCAATGCTTATACCACTCCTTTTTCTTTCGTGTGCAATGTGTCGGAATCTTGTTTAAGACCTCGGATGCGCCCGATAGTCGCTTTTAGACTTTCCTGCGTAAGGCGCAGTAAATATTGCATAATTTTCTTACATCCTTTCTGCATGAAGTGTAGTTCGGTTTGTAGTTCCCACGCGTAGCGTGTTTGCTTACGAGTTTGCTGTAGCATTTCTTTGCATAACCTTTGCATCTAGATGTTTCATTACAACCCTCTTTGCATAATCATAAGTTATGTTCTGCATCGTGCATATCATTTGCATTTTGCCCCAGCCTGCGAACGCATCTATATTGCTATCTTGTTTGTCTGTCTAAGTCTTCGGCCTTGTAAAAAATGGGTCGTCTCTGGGCTTTGACATTCACTCCCGTCATTTCATGACTTTCAAGTTCTGTCAAAGAGGGGCAACTGTAGACACCCATTTTTGACTGTCCTCAAGACTTGGATGTTCTTGCAGGTACATCCAGAAACAAGTTTGATTGCTCGTTGAGTACTCGACTTCCGCGATGGAATGCTCCAGGTTTGATCTTTCCAAACCGTATTTCCATTCTGTCTCATACTTGGACCATGTGTTGGTCCTTTTGGAAAGTTACTTTTGATGCACTGCCAGCCATGGAATGCCACTACTGGCCATCAATTTGTGCTTGCCGGCCATCAATGAGGCACTGCCGGCCATCACTGATGGCCGGCTGGCCACCACTATTTCAGTAGATATTTTTACAGATATTTTGACAGCTGTTTGCATAGGTTGGCTCATCTACACCCATGTGGATGGCTAGATCTCTTCAAGGCTTCTTTGTATCTTCTATACATAGAAGCTATCTATATGCATGCAAAGGGTTGCAAAAATTGAGCTGAGATATTTTCCTTTCTCTCTCTCTCTATATTTTGTGCTTAAAAGTGTGTTTTCTTCACATATTTGCACTAAAATACCTAGTCAAACACCTTCACCTTAGTGATGAGGATCTTGGATGCCCTGTTTGAGCTCCTTGGAGTGGCTTTGGCTTGATTTTGGCTCAGAAGCTTGCTGTTTTCTTGCTGTGTTTCAAGGGTAAGTGTTTCACCCTTTTAAGCTTTGTTCTAGTTCATTGCTTTGCCATTTTTGTATGCAAATTTGAATATGGTTTTAGTCTAAAAAAAGTTTTGTTTTTAAGGCTTAAAAATGTTGGTTTGAGCCTTGTGTGGTTAAGGGGTGGTTCCCCTCTTTTCCTCTTTGGCTTGTAAAGCTTCTTGAGCCACCTTTCTAAGCTTTTGTAACATCTTTTGTTTGGCCTTTCTACCATCGAAACTCAGAGGTATTTCAGTGGTGGAAAGTTGGTTTTGAGGCTCAAAATAGGAGGGGCTGATCCCCTCTCCTTGTATCTTGCTTGCTTGTGTTGATGGCCTCATACTTGAGCATGCTTTTCTACTCTTTTGTGACTTAGTTCAAGCATGTTTTAGGCTCTATTTTGACCTTCTTTAACTCTATTTTGGGCTAGTTGGATCACCTCTTGCTTGCGTCTTACACTTGTAGTGTAATCTTGCTCACTAGCCTTCTATACTTGATGAGTTAGCTTACTATTCTAGCATGTGTTGGCTCCGTTCCAGCAGGTTCTTGGTCTTGTTTTGACATGCTTAAACTCTATTTCAAGTGGTCTTGGTCACATATGCTTTGCTTTGTATAGCCATAGTGTAGTTTGCCTTTACTAGCTTTGAGTTTTGAGGACTCTAACATGCTTTGCTTGTGATGTTTGCATGATATAGCATCATTTCATACATGATTTTAGTGCATGTAGTCATGTCACACTCTCATATATTCCACTCTTTCATTGTGTTTGAGAGTTGTGCCTTATGTGCCTTGTTTACGAGCCAATACATGAAGCTTGTTTCTCTTGCTTTGCATGCAACCATCTCAGCACATTTTGGCCACTGCTTTGGCATGCTTTAGGTCTGTCCATGGCTGGTTTGATCATTTGA